AGATCTCAGCCTCCTGAGTAGCTAGGATTACAGTGTGAGCCACCGGTGCCTGGCTCTGATTTTAGTTTTAGTTTTTTTTTTTTTTTTTTTTTTTGCCAGTCAGTGGGCCAGAACTCTGGGCCTGGATGCTGTCTCTCAGCTCTTCAGTTCAAGGCTAGCACAATACCACTTGAACCACAGAGCCACTTCAGGCTTTTTCTGCTTATGTGGTGCTGAGGAATAGAACCCAGGGCCTCATTCATGTAAGGCAAGCACTCTACCACTGAGCCACCTTCCTAGCCCCTCTCATTTTAGGTTTTAAATCTCAAATTAACAAAAACTATTGTTTCCTGAAATTCAGCGTCTTGTAAATACACCTACAGTTAGAAATTAATTCATTAATTTATAATCGTCTAAGTAATTATATATTTTGTCTAAATATAGTTTGTATAAATATTATGTATTTTGCAAATTCCTGCACATTATTTTTCTCTGTTCTCCAGTATTTCCAAAGTTTTATCACTAGCTTGTTAAAACTACAAATCTCCATAAAATTCTATTTTTTACAATGTGCTATGTCAGTTCATATTTACAGACTTAGGATGCCTTAGAATTTACTTTATAAATTTGATACTTGTGCAAACATGTCTGTTAATTTAAAAAATGAACAGCTCAACTTTTATTTGAGATAGTATCTAGAGACCTAGAATATTAAAGTACATTTTTTCTGACGGTGCAAATCTTTTTGTATTCAGATAGGTCTTTTTCCAGATACTTTCTGTGTGTGATACATGGCTTTGTTAAAACTAACGTAAGATTTTTGGCCTAGAATAGCCACCTAGGCTGTTTGTCTCTGTCATACTTACTTTTTCCTTCCAGTCTAGCCTATTATTACTCCCAGATTAATTTTTACTGTTCACTGGAAAACTTAATTGACTCACCAGTTCTAGATGATTGGAACATAAAGGTTTTTTTTTTTTGTTTTGTTTTGTTTTTGCTTATGTGGTGCTGAGGAATCGAACCCAGGGCCTCAGGCATGCGAGGCAAGCGCTCTACCACTGAGCCACCTTCCCAGCCCTGGAACATAAAGTTTTTACCTTGGCTTTTGCAGGTTCATGAGAACTCTTGGCCATGATATCAGTGGACCATGTGCTCCTTATCTAGATATACTTTTTTCTTTTTAATGCCAGTCCAGGAGCTTGAACTCTAGGTGTGGGCTTAGTCCCTGTGCTTGTTTGTTCAAGGCTGCCACTTTTTTACCACTTGAGCCGCAGCTCTACTTCCACCTTTTTGGTGGTTAATTGGAGGTAAGAGACTCATGAACTTTCCTGCCTGGGCTGGCTTTGAACCGTAGTCCTCAAATCTCAGCCTCCTGAGTAGCTAGGATTATAGGAATGAGCAGGTTGAACTTTTTTTTTTTTTTTTCTTTTGGTGAGTTTACCCATTGTCATGCAGTGAGAGGCCAGAAAGAAGGAAAAAAGAGCTAGAGAAGAGCTTATCCTGGATTCTTTATGTGCCTGGCTGTCTGTCAGTGTCTTTGCTTTCTATATAGCCACCACTATTGCATTATTACTTATGACTAGGAGTGGGCAAAAAGTCCAGAGAGAATTTTCCCATTGTTCTTGACCTTCCTGTTCATGCTTAGGGACCAGAAAATGTGTTTTTCCTAGAGCTCCTCTTTTTTTCTTTCTGTCGGTTGTGGGACTTAAACTCTGGGCCTGGGTGCTGTCCCCTCAGCTGTTCAGCTCAAGGCTAGCACTCTACCACTTGAGCCACAGCACCACTTCGGTTTTCTGAGTGATTTATTAGAGATAAGAGTCTCATGAGCTTTCTTGCCTGAGCTGGCTTTGAATTGTGATCCTCATATCTCAGGCTCCTAAGGAGTTAGGATTACAAACGTGAGCCACCAGCGCCCGGCTAAAGCTCCTTCTCTGTGTATCAAGTCAGTACTTCTGGATTTTGGGTTGCCTTTGCCAGGCTAGCCATTACTGGAAGCAAACATGATAACCTCTTGCCAGTTCAGTTTGGTTGAACTAAAATAATTCTTTTTCCAACTCACTTGCTGTCATTTACTTTTTAGATCCTTAAATGGTTTATGGCATGTGCTTTGTCCAGGGTTTATAGTTGAATTAAAAAGGAGAAATGGAGTGGGCCTGCCTACTCATTTTCTGTAAATACAAAACTTTTTTCAATAGGTTTTAGAATGTATTTTCCTCCTCCTCCTCTTTCTCCCTCCTTTTCTTCTTTTTCCTCCTCGGTCTTTTCCTCCTCTTCCTCCCCTTTATTTATTTATATATATTTTTTAGTCTTGGGACTTGAATTCTGGGCTTGGGCACTGTCTCTGAGCTCTTTCACTGAAGGCTAGTGCTCTACTACTTTGAGCAATAGTGCCATTTCGGTTTTCTGGTGGTTAATTGGAGATAAGAGTTTTGTGGACTTTACTTCCTTGGTTGGCTTTGAACCGCTATCCTCAGATCTCAGCATCCTGAGTAGGTAGGATTACAGGTATGAGCCACCAGTGCCCGGCATGTTTTCTTAAATAAGCCTAATTCATGGCTATGTGAGTTAATTTTTTCATTTTTTTGTTTGTGTTTGTTAAGATTTTTTTTATGCCAGGTGCTGGTGTAAACTTTCATGACTGTAACTGTGAAATACTTGAAATTTGATGAAAAATTTCCTTTTTTTTTCTGTGGTGGTTTTGGTTGTTACAGGTCCTTTATCATTTTACTTTAAAAATAATACCTTTAAATACCTTTATCCTCTGAGATTTATTATCTTTTTCTTAATTTCATTTTCAAAATATGTGAGTTTATTACAACTACAACTTATTGGGCAGGTACTTATTAATTAACTTGTTACTCATATTTTGTTCAGTTGAGCTATGATTACATTAGTCTGATACTTAATTAAAATGCTTGAATTTAGTAGTAATTAAACAAAATACTTGACTTCTTTAACTCTTTAGTTGCTTTAAGGATTACGTAGATTTGTGTTTAGTTAGTACTTAAGATATTTGCCTATTAGTAATGGACTTTACATATATGTCTTATTTTGCTTACTTTCATACTTGACATTTTTGTTTCCAGAAATATACTTAGTTGAAGAGTTGCATGCAATGTATTTGTTAAATCTTAGCAAGCTTTATATTAGCTAAGCTAGACTTAGTAAGTCTTACATTCTTAAGCTCACTCCTGCTTTTAGATGGGAAGTTGTATAAATAGTTTGGAAACAAAAAAATGTGAATATTTGTATTTAATGTCTTTTGATATCTAGAGGATGCCAGCCCCCATCAGATTACGGGAGCTGATCCGGACCATCCGGACAGCCCGAACCCAAGCTGAAGAACGAGAAATGATCCAGAAAGAATGTGCTGCAATTCGTTCATCATTTAGAGAAGAAGACAATACATACCGGTGTCGGAATGTGGCAAAACTACTGTATATGCACATGCTGGGCTATCCTGCTCACTTTGGACAGGTAGGCTGGACCAAAGCTGCACATAGCCAGAACAGTCTTAACTTGAATAAGAATTAATCATTTTATAGCAGGGATGCACTTTTTAAAATGCTTTTTATTAATTTTAATTATACAAAGGAGTTGCCACTCACCAAAGTAGTTTATGAATACAATGCATCTTGATCACTGTCGTCATCCCTCTCAGTAGTCTCACCCACCTCTCCTAACCCACCCTTTCTCTTACTTATCTTAATTTTAGGTATATTTAAGTTTTTTTGACTTTTAACAGTTTATACGTACAATGTCTCTTAATGTGTGTCATCACTTCAACATCTTCACCCCCACTTCGACTCACCCCATCCCTTATATTTCTCAATTCTGTGGCACATACAATGAATTCTTGCCTGCATTATCCCACCTTCCCTGCTTCATTCTTCTATCCTTTTGATTTTTTTTTTTTTTTGTCAGTTGTGGGGTTTGAACTCTGGGCTTGGGCACTGTCCCTCAGCTCTTTAGCTCAAGGCAAGCTCTCTACCACTTGAGCCACTTTCAGCCTTTTCTGAGTAGTTTATTGGAGATAAGAGTCTCATGGACTTTCCTGCCCGGGCTGGCTTTGAACCAGGATCCTCAGATCTCAGCCTCCTGAGTAGCTAGGATTACAGGTGTGAGCCACCAGCGCCCGGCTTTCTTTTGATTTTTGTGATAACAATTAGCTTTCTTCTTCCAGAAGACCTGGACTTATAATGTACATTTGAAAAATGTTTGCTAAATATTTTCTTAGTTATTTCCTCTATGCACAGTATATGGCAAAACTTATGACAGATGTTCTTTTTTTTTTTTTCCCCTTATTTTTGTCTGTCTGGGGCCTGAACTCTGGGCCTGGCACTGTCCCTGTGCTCTTTGGCTCAAGGCTAGCGCTCTACCACTTGAGCCACAGCGCCACTTCTGGCTTTCTCTGTTTATGTGATGCTGAGGAATCAAACCCAGGGCCTCATGCATGCAAGGCAAGCACTCTACCACTGAGCCACCTTTCCAGCCCCTATTGTTAATTACTTCTTCCTTTTCTTTTTCTTCTTCTTCATGTCAGTCTTGAACATGGTGCCTGGGCACTGTCCCTGAGCTGCTTTTGCTCAAGGCTAGCACTCTACCATTTGAGCCACAGAGCGACTTCTAGTGGTTTATTGATCCTTAGATCCCAGCTTCCTGAGTAGCAAGGAGTACAGATGTGAGCCACCGGCACACAGCTAATTTTTATTAGTTTTTTTAGTCTAGATTTTTATTTTTATTTTTTGTATTTTTTTTTGTTTTTGTTTTGCTTTTTGGCAGTCCTGGGGCTTGAACTCAGGGCCTGGGCACTGTCCCTGAGCTTGTTTTTCTCTAGCACTCTACCACTTGAGCCACAGTGCCACTTCCAGTTTTTCCTGTGTATGTGGTACTCAGGAATTGAACCTGGGACTTCATGCATGTGAGGCAAGCACTCTACCACTAAGCTCCATTCCCAGCCCCAATTTTTATTTTCTTTAAAGGAGATATGTTGATGATGGTGATGATATATGTAGTTGTACAAAAAAGTTACAATTCCCTAAGTCAGGTTATGAGTAGTATGCTTCTTAATGTCACCACTTCCATTGTTCTTCCCCACCTTTTCCTATCCGAGCCCTACTCTCAAGTTACATAGAAAAAATTTATTTAAGAATTACATATTGGGGGGGCTGGGAAGGTGGAGTGGTAAGAGTGCTTGCTTTGCATGCACGAGGGTTCGATTCCTCAGCACCACAAAAGTAGAAAAAGCCGGAAGTGGCACTGTGGCACAAGTGGTAGAGCGCTAGCCTTGAGCTGAAGAGCTGAGGAACAGCACCCAGGTCCAGAGTCCAAGCCCCACCACCAACAAAAAAATTACATATTGGGCTGGGAGTTGGTGGCTCACACCTATAATCATAGCTACACAGGAGCTGAGATCTGAGCATTGCGGTTCAAAGCCAGCCGGGACACAAAGGTCTATGAGACTCTTATCTCTAATAAACCACTCAGAAAACACGGGAAGAGGCACTGTGGCTCAAATGGTAGAGCACTAGCCTTGAGCTGAAGAGCTGAGGTACAGTACCCAGCCCCAGAGTTCAAGCCCCACGATCAACAACAACAAAAAAAGAATTACATATTGGGATTGGGAAGGTGGCTCAGTGATAGAGTGCTTGTCTTGCATGCATGAAGACCTGGGTTTGATTCCTCAGTACCACATAGGCAGAAAAAACCAGAAGTGGCACTGTAGCTCAAATGGTAGAGTGCTAGCTTTGTGCTGAAGAGCTGAGGGACAGCACCCAGGCCCAGATATCAACTCCCACGACCAAAAAAGAAAATTCCATATTGAATAGTCTTTAAGGAATTCAATGCAAAATTAAAAGAAAATTGCATTGCAAAGGAGGAAAATACATCTTTCTAGAAAAATATATTTCTGTTTTCAAAGATAACTCATTTTTTTTGAGTATTAGGCTCAATAACTTAAGTGGAAGGAGATCTGCCCCAAGACATAAAAGTAATAGGATTGAATCTTAACAGACTAGCTTGAATTAGTGTTATGGTCATTTTAGGTGTTGGGAATACAATCAGTCTCCTTATAAATATGTGATTTTAGCCAAGACCAGTGGTTGACACTTGTAATCCTAGCTACTCAGGAGGCTGAGCTCTGAGGTGAAGATCAAAGCCAGCCAGTGCAGAACAATTCCTGACACTTTTTGTTGTTGTTGTTGTTGGTCATGGAGCTTGAAATCTGGGCCTGGGTGCTGTCCCTCAACTCTTCAGCTCAAGGCAAGTGTTTGACCACTTGAGCCACAATGCCCCTTCCTGTTTTCTGGTGGTTAATTGGAGATAAGAGTCTCATAGACTTTCCTGCCTGGACTGGCTTTGAACTTCGATCCTCAGGTCTCAGCCTCCTGAGTAGCTAGGATTACAGGCATGACCCACCAGCATCTGGCTCCTGACACTATTTATCTCCAATTAACCACCAGAAAAACGGAAGTGGAACTATGGCTCAAAGTGTGAAGTGCTAGCCTTGAGCACTCAGGGACAAGGCCCAGGCCCTGTTTTCTTTTTTTTTTTTTGGTCGGTCATGGGGCTTGAAATCTGGGCTTGGGCGCTGTCCCTCAGCCCTTCAGCTCAAGGCGAGCGCTCTACCACTTGAGCTACAGCGCCACTTCTGGTTTTCTGGTGGTTTATTGGAGATAGGAGTCTCACAGTCTTTCAGATCTCAGCCTCCTGAGTAGCTAGGATTACAGGCGTGAGCCACCAGCGCCCGGCCCAGGCCCTGATTTCGAGCCTCATGACCAATCAACAACAACAAACTAAAAAATAGGGTGAGGCCAAGTTCAAGCCCTATAGAATTAGCCACACGTAGACACACACAAATGTGAATAATGGGTAGGAAAACAGCAGTTTCCTTAAAGAAAAATTGAGTTGTTAATGTAACTTTCATATATTTGTTTTTAGATATTATTGTCATAAGGGATTCATTCACATTAGTCATAAAATAATTTCTTTTTTTCATGTAAGGTGTTGGGTGCCAGTGAGTCATGGATGTAATCCCAGCTACTCTAGTGGTTGAGATCTGAGGATTTGAAGCCAGCCCAGGCAGGAATGTCCTAGAGACCCTATCTCCAAGTAACCACCAAAATAGATCAGAAGTGTAGATCTCTAGCCTTGAACAAAACAAACCAGGGACAATACCCAGGTCCTAAACACACACACACACACACACACACACACACACACACACACACACACGTGCACACACACGCGCGCGCGTGCACCCAGGCACACACACACGTGTACGTGTGCACCCAGGCACTCATTGAAAAGTAATTAATACCCTTGATATGGATACATGCACACACAGAGGCAACTTGATATGGATTTCATTTTTCATTCTTATAGAGATAGGAGTAGAAATAAAGCCTAAAGCTCTACTGTTTCCAGTTACAAGGTTTTACCACATCAAAATTTGATCCTAGTAGTAATCCAGTTAGTGCATGACATAATATAAAACAAACAGATGTTTTGGTAGAAACATTAGGTTAGATTTATAGAAATTTGATGTTTCCTAAAATAAGATATAAAAAAACAAAAGATACCCTAGTGAGAGAAAATTCTTTAAAAATTTTTTAATTGTTATAAATGTGGTGTATTAAAATTCTTGAATTTCTCCATACAGATACAACTACTGTTAACATCTTGGAGAGAGTACATTTAAGTTATTTAAAAACAAGCTCTTTCTTTTTTTTTTTTTTTGTTGGTCTTGCATTGGCTAGGCAATTTGAGCCATTCCTCTAGTTCCTTTTTTAGTTAGTTTGTATAATGTCTTGCATTTCTGCCTGGTCTGGCTTGGATTGTGATCATCCAGTGTGTTCTTTTGGAATGTCTGTGATAATAGGCATACACCACCATACCTAGTTTTACTGGTGTCTTAGGCTAGCCTTGTAGTGTGAGCCTCCTGATTTCTACTTTCTAAGTAGCTAGGGTAATAGATATAAGTCACTGTGTCTATACTACAGTCGTTAAAAAAAATTTTTTTTTTGCTGGTCTTTGGATTTGAACCTAAGGACCTATGTATTGTTACTGAGCCTCTCTATGCTCAAGGCTAGTGCTCTACCACTTGAGCCACAGCTTCACTTCCAGCCTTTTCTGAGTAGTTTATTGGAGATAAGAGTCTCACAGACTTTCCTGGCTGGGTTGGCTTTGAACTGCTATTTTCAGATCTCAGCCTTCTGAGTAGCTAGGATTACAGGTGTGAGGCACTGGTGCCTGGCTTACAGATATTTGAATTTGAAATCCTAGAGTAGATTTAAGACTTTGGATATTTTATATTATAAAATATTTACATATGTATATATTTTAAAGATTCATTTCTATAACATTAAGTAACAGTAAAATGTACTTTTTAGGTCTGTCTTGGTAGCATTTTGAGAGTATTTTCGAACTTAATTATTTGCTAAAACACACAATTCTTAGTTGCCAGGTATGAATATGCC